ATAGATTGAGAGTTTATATTTAGTAAAATTCCTAATTGTAATAAAAAAATTAATTTTTGCTATATTTTAGAATATCTTTAAATTCATTATAAAAAAAAAAAAAGAAAAAAAAACTACAATGAAAAAAGCAAGTCAACTATATATCGATTTGTTGTACTCCTCAAATCACATTCACAATTTGGCTACAAGGAAAAGAAACTCATTGATTAAAATATTATTTTGTCAGTAGTCTTAATGTATAAGAGACTTTAAGACTCCACTTGAATATTATAAAACTTTTATTGAACATTATACAATTTTCTTGCGTATTATAAACTTTATTGAATATTGCATCTTATAATATAATATTCTCCAAATAAATATATTCCGTGCTTCGCACGGGTCACGTACTATATATATCCCGTACATTTTTCTTTATTCATGTATATAATTACAAGCATGGATAAATAGCCTTAAAATTGTACACCCCGTGCATCGCACGGACTCTGTACTAATTGATAATTGGTATGTATATATGTAGTTGAGGTAATTAATAATTACACATTGGTTGATTGGCAGCTTATATGTGTGTGTGTATATATATAGATTTTGTACAAGTCAATTTTCATATTTAAGTTTTTCCTTTTTTAGTTTTTGCTCTACAACAGAATATTAGGACAAAAGGCACAACAATTTACAATCCCATAATCATAAAACCTCTGCCACTATAAAACCATTTGAATGGATCGAAATATGAACCAGATCACGCAACTCATCAATACCAAAAATGAAAAAGAAAAAGAATAAAGTAGGAAGATGATCGACGTTAGTGGATTATAATTTATGTTAACTTTGCATAAAATACTAATACTTGTCACAATTAATAATTACGTTGCTATCACAAACATTAAAAAAAAGAATCACCCAAGCGTGTGGGAAATTCCAACCGACACACCAACCAAATAGCAAAACCGGAACTTTCTATTAATACATCATCTACTCAAAATAAGAAAGGAAAATAAAAAACAAAAAAAAAAAAAGAGGAAAATAAACAAACAACAGAAAGGAAAATATCATGGCCTCAACTGAGCCCGAGAAGTTGGTGGAGGACAAGAAAGAAACGGTGGCGCCAAAAACTCCTATTGATTACTTTAGTTTGGGTGATTTGGTATTGAGATTTTTGCTCTTTCCTTCAGCAGTGGTGGCAGTTGTGGTTATGGTCACTAGCAACCAAACACTTCATTCTGTGCCTGCTAAATTCAATCACTCACCAGCTTTCATGTGAGTTTACTTTTATGTATTATAGTATCTGTAGGCCTGTTCGTGTTTATGTGCATGCATATATTTGTCCAGATAACTACTACAATTGTTGTTTCTATTTGTTTTTGTGTAAATTTTCAGAAACTCCCATGACTATATAGGTGTTTTGAACGTGACTATTGAAATATATTTGATAAATACTAGTGTAATATCTTTAGAATGGATCAATTTGGACAAAAATAGTTGATAAATACTAAGGACAATTTTTTTTCCAAATTAATCCCAAGTATCCTACTTAGAAAACACACTTCAAGAACACGTGTCCAGTGTCAAATAACACGTGAAAAATTTCAATTGTCCTAATATTGATAGTTTTTATGATTTATATAGAACTATATTTGCTAATTAGATTCTAACTAAACTACTTTTGAAATACTTGTTATTTTTTAAATTTTTTTAAAAGTCACGATTCTCACGAATCAATATCTATATATATATATATAATAAGAATTATCATTTACTAAAAGCAGTAGCCAAAATTTTAGGAAACATTTAATGTATACCATTTTTGAAAACTTTTTAAATTATACATTAATTGTTTCCATATACATGTTTTCAAATAAGATATGATAAAAAAGTAGTTAAATAAATTTATTAATATCTGTATATTATCATTGTTATTATAGTAAATTATAACATTGATTTTTCGTAATTCATGTTGATAATATTTTGGTCAAGATAAATATTATTTTGTTAATATATGTAATACTTTCATTGATATTCATTATAATAAATTACAAGATTGATTTCCATGATCTATGTTGATAATATTTTGGTCAAGATAAATATTACACCATATATTCAATTTATTAAGGGGTTTCATTCACACTGTTTTCGACCAAGAACATTTTCTAAAACTCTTTTTTTTTTTTAAGTTCTAACCATAATATAATTTTTTTTTTTCACAAGTATTCAATTTACCCAAAAATATTCATGGAAAATCGTAACATGTTAGATAGAATTGTAATCAAACAAAATCAAGTTGGTGGATTAATCTTTGCCAATGTATTTTTTTCTTAAGCTTCATTTTGTTAAATATAAAAGATAAATTGTTCTTCAAATTAATATAATTTACCATTTAAGAGATAATGACTATATAAATTAAATAGTTTTACTGATGGTAAAAATTAAAATTTAAATATATTAACTATTTTTTAGCATTTATTTGCATATTATTGGCACCCATGATTATTTTTTTCTATTTTTTATTTTGATTTATTTCTATAATTAAATTCTTGTAAAATAATTTTTTATTGCAAGAGTATGCTAATTAAATTATAAATCCTTATAATGCGAATTAGAAAAATCTTTATCATAGAGGGGATTGAATTTTTGGTATTTTCTAAATCAAAGTGTATAATTAGTATACAAAATTAAATTCTAAAACAACATGTGTATATTTTGTAAAATATTTATACACTACTTAATTTTAAATTTATTTACATATTTTAAATTGATTACATAAATAAATAATACTAACGTGTATTAAATATTTTTCATTACATAAAATAAAAAGAAAAAGAAGACGTACAACATCTATAACTTTATAAATAATAATGACATTATATGACAACAAAGTTTATAATAAAATATTAATTAAGTATTATATGGTGAACAAGAATAATTTAAATTGTTATTCTTTCTTATATCAAGAAATAAATATATATAATAAAATCAAATTTATATTAGTATAAATGTGTTAGTTAGATAATATATTAATTGTTTTACAAGCTAGCCCTAACATGCTCATATTTAATGTTTTGACTAAAAAAACCATGCTGATTAAAAGAAGTGCAAAATAGATTATAACCTTATTGTTTATTAAACTTAACTCTGATTAAAAGAGGTGAAAAATATATGATAACCCTATTGCTTTATATACTTAAACGGACAAAGACGGTAAAAATAACCATTTAATATGTATGTCTCGTGCATCGCATGGGGTACGTACTAGTGTGATATATAATATGTCAATATACATGACACATTGACCTGACGTGTCATTTTCTAGGGTGGAATTTCGATAATAGTTATTCTTGTTTTGATTTATTTTAAATGATATGAGGCTACCAGTAATTATGAAACTATTTTCAAAATTTCCATATTTCAATCAAGTACGTATCTATCTGCTACATCATCTATGATTTTTAGCTAAAAATTATAGTGGTTGCTTGGATATAAGTTTGTAATTGGAAGGTTTTTTTTTTTTAATCGGAGTTAATTTTGAAAAGATTGGTTAAGTTAAGTTTGAGTGGAGTTTTGAGTTTTTATTACAATAATATTTAAAATAAAATAATTAAAGTTGATTTAATGTAAAAGTAAAATATATATGATTGAAGTCATGATTAGTTAAAATTATATGAAAGAATAAACAGTGAATTAAAGTTGATGTGATGTGTGATGATGATTGATTGCTATTATTTAATTATATTGATAATACTTGGAATAATGAATTTGAGTTAAAGTTTAATTTAGATTTGAGTTAAAAAAATGATTGATTAAAATAAATTGAGAAATTGTGTTCAAACACCACCTTAATGACCCAATTTGTCCAAACTCAGAGTCAATATTTATAAAGCCACTTTATAAAATCACTCGCAATTTATTATTATTATTATTATTATTATTATTATTATTATTATTATTATTATTATTATTATTATTATTACACTACAACAAAAACTGCATTTAGAGACGTTTATTTTTTTTATTTGGTGACATTTATTAGTGTCACAAATAAATTTACCTACACTTGCAAAAGTGTCGTCAGTTGCGTTGCTAAATTTGATGTCACAAATTTATTTGTGACGCAACCTAAATGCGTAGGTAATCTTTAATGGGCGACACTTTTTCAAAAGTGCGTCGTTAGTACATAATTTAGTGACACAATATATTACTATAAGTAATTTTCAAAGAGTGACATTTTTTAGCGCGTCATTATTATTACGAGTTGTGACATAAAATTTTAGCGTCGGTAAATCCCAATGCATGACGCTTTTTTATAGCGTCATTAATATAGATTATTGTGACACAAAATTGTACTGTTTGTAATTTTCAATACATTACACTTTTTTAAGTGTCATTATAATTTTTGGTGACAAAGTACAAAGGGATTGAAAGACATTTCGTGAAAAATCCATATTCAAACACAAACCTCAACCTCGATCCACAATCGTAATCCAATTGTTCACTGATCAAATGATAATTGAAAGTCTAGGACCANTGAAGCCGATATCCTTGGCGGCTCCGGAAGCATTGTCTGCAGCACATCAAACTATACTTCCTAATGATGGCATGCAGGTTACCACAAACCCGGCTGTTGAAAAACAAAATGACATACACAAGTTAAAAACTTCAACCAATAAAGGATAATCATGGAACAACAATTAAACATGAGATGCAAAACAACATAGACATGTAATTTAGCTTAGGCATAGTTAACTGGTTGTCGGCACTTCAATCCATTTATTTCGTAGGCTTCTTATATTTATTTTACTACTTCATTTCCTCTTTCGTTAGTAGGTTTCAAAATCAACATTCCTTTCTCAAACCAATTGCCCCCTCAACTATAGAACTCCTAATACGAAATTATAATATCCTATGATCTTCCAAGCAACTTCAGAAAAAGCAAAGAGCTGAAATAAAAAACCACTCTAAACTTACTTTCAGATACAGAAATAACAACTTAATGTTAAAAGTAACAAATCACAAAATAAGCTAAAACTACTTATTTTAGTAAATAGGCACCAAAGACAAATCAATTTCTATTCATCAAAGTCATCTATGTGAAAAAATAAAAGCTAATCAATACATCATATGCTACTACTTGAATACAAGTAACAAGACATTGCCTAACTTAGAATCAACTAAATTAACTATCATATGAAGAAATAAGAATTAATATTATCGGTAAACTCAAGCATGTTCAACAACTAAAAATCACCATGGTAATTAAATTTAGAGTTTCTTTGAGATTAATTGATATGAATACCAAATAGTTTTACCTGCAAAAAGAAGTTATTAGACCCTACGAAACCCCCTTGAAGGGCTTCAATTTGGATTAAATGTATGCCTGCAAAACTGAAAATAAAATTTAGAAGCATTGTAATGTTTTGGATTCAACATCAAAATTATACTGAAATTAAGATAAACATACATAGTGCATCATCTCTGTGCATACAAAAATGGAAACACATAAGGTTCATTATATGTTACATATATAATAAAATGAAATATTTATATTACCTAGGTATAGAAGTATGAAGAACATCGCCACAGACATCAACCTACGCTGGTAGACAACTTATGTTGGCCTAAACTCATACTCATTGGCAATTTCTCTATTGATGTAAGTAACTTAAGTCCAATAGATCTTTTTGAGTGGCTCCAATATTTCTCCTATCACTCTACCTACCACAGGAAGGTCTATGACTACATATTGAGAGGAATAAGCAACAAAAACATAAAGGTGAGAATCAAAGCAACATGAAGAAGAGATGTGTGCCTGGTAATCACTGCCTTGCCACGTCAACAAAATACTATTACCTTTGAATCTCTGCAAATCATTATATAATATACAAAGAAAATCAAGAAAAATCACTAAGAGCAAACAATTTGATCAAAAGCCTTCTTCTTCATTTGACATTACGCCCTTCGAGACAAGCGCCTTTTATATACTCGCCTTGCCTCAGCTCCTCGAGGCGTCAAGGCCGCGCCATGCCACGCCTCACGTCATGGCGAAGTCACGGTGTCGCCATATTAATTTTGAAAGGGTGAATCCAAATCAGCCCAATCTTTCAGTGTTAATTACATTCACAACCCAAATGTATTGAGCATACTAAAAAAAGAGTAGTTCATATTTCTTCAATTTTTCTCCACATTAAATCAAATTAAGAGCTTAATAGAAAATAAAAGGAAGAAATAGAAACAAGAGTATTTGAGAAATATTATACATACAACAAGCAAAGAGAATAACAAAACACGAAAACTAATCAATATTTTTTAAAGTTATTTTTTTTAACAAAAACCATGCACACCAAGTAAATGCCAACAAAACCAGAGCATAGAATAAGTTCCTGTATGCTTACCCGATAAATTTTAGAATCTGGTGATGGTACTTGCGGCCTTCAGAGCTTATTCCATGGTATGGTACATCAGATCTGAAAGATACGGAGGAAATAGGGTTGATGGACGTCACGATTTCGAGAGAGATATTAGTTACGGGAAAAACAAAACTTGAAATGTTATGCGGTTCAGCGGCAGAGGCGCATAACCGAACCAGAGATTGGACCATACACAGAGAATCAAAACGAACAGAGCCTAGAAATCTAAAATCCCGTATGCTTACCCGATAGGAATTGCATCATCCTAACCGTGGTCGATTGACAGTAATCATCGATGAAAATCGAATGGCAACCGCGTCCAAATGGTTATAAAATTTGGTTGTTTGCCTTGGAAAAAAAAAAAAAAGATTAGGGCTGAAATTTCCCAAACTCTTTGCCGTGAAGGAAAATAAGAACACAAAGTTAAAAATAAAAAAAGAAAAATGGCTGGTCTGTTGATGTTATATGCTTAAAAATTTTAATGACCATTTGTAGAAATGTTGCTAAGCCATAGTTTGTTGTAAATATAGTCAAAATAGAAAAATAAGAAAGATGACACATAAAAAAAAATGATATTAGTTAGATACAGTTTTCAATAAAATGTCGCTATATAAGTAGCACGGAGACACTTATATATAAAATGTCACAATTTAGTTACACTTTTAAATAAATGTCTCAATACTAGTTATTATTGCAACATTTTTTTTAAAGCATCACTATTTGGTTACATTTTTTAAAATGCGTCAATATTATTTTTGTTTTTGGAACGCTTTTTAAAAAGCGTCATGTCAATTTTAATTTTAGTTACACTTATTAAAAAATGTCACTATTTTCATGTTGCAAGAAGTCATTTTTGTTGTAGTGTTATTATTATTATTATTATTTATTATTATTTATTATTATTATTATCATCTTTTATTGTGCCTAACATGTAACAAGGTGCAAATTAATTAGACACCAAAAGCAAGAGAAAATAAGATAATATTAAATAATAGCCATTACCCCAGTTGAAGGGCCACTAGATGTCAATTAATAGTAAATTCACAACTATAGTTTGCTTGAATTTATAAAACTGATTAATTTATAGACTTTTGACTGGCTTTTATTTACTTCATTACACGTCGGTAAGATACTTGAGATTTTTTTTTTTTTTTTTTATACTTAAGCTTGAAATATGCATACACAAGTATTTTAAAGCACAATTTAATTTTGATTGTTTATGTTGCAGATACTTTGTGGCAGCACTCTCAGTTGCAGCCTTGTACAGCATTATTACCACTCTCTTCTCCTTTTATGCTCTCCTCAAACCTGACTGCTGCCCAAAACTGCTCTCCCATTTTGTCATATTCGATGTTGTAAGCCCGCAGAATCTAAGTTAAATATTATACAAAATATGCAGCAACTTTTGCTAGCTGCCTGTCAAGAAATCAAGAAAGTAACCAAAAGCATTAAGACTAGTTAAAACATAAATAATACCCTTTAGGACTTGGTATGTTTGGGCTTTATATGTTGTAATAATGAGTATTAAAAGGGCTGACCTTTTTTTGTTTTTCTTTTTTTTTGTTTTTGTTTTTTCTTTTAGCTACTTTTGGGAATTGTGGCTGCAGCAACTGGATCAGCAGGTGCAGTGGCTTATATAGGTCTAAAGGGAAACACACATGTTGGTTGGAAAAAGATTTGCAACATTTATGATGATTTTTGCAAGCACGTTGGAGCTTCGGTTTTCGTATCCTTGTTCGCCTCAATCGTCCTGGCTTTCTTGATTTTGCTCTCTGTTTATGGCCTGTCCAAAAAAATCCCAAAATAGAGGTGCCATTTGTTAGTAGCATGGTGTGAATGAATTTACATATATGGGCTCCTAGACTTGTTCAGTTGTTTGTGTATTTTGTGGCCTTGTGGGTATGGGATGTTATTTTTGTATAGTGTGTGCACATGTGTGTGGATATGGAAAAATTAAAATCCTTCTATTGGATTAAATGAATGTACTTATTGGATCAGGCTTGTGAAAACCTGCATGTTGTGTTCTTAGTGCAGCTGACAAAATTGTTGGATTACAAATTGTATTTGATCTATGAATTGTTAGTGTATTATGTGGTTGGATTAGTGCCTTCCCATTCAGTTTTTGTGCTCATATGTAACTCTTCATTGATGTGATTAAGCCATCTGTTTGCTTAGATGCTTGAAGCCTAATGTTATTTTGTTTTTGTTTTCCACAAAAATTAACAAGTTGATGATAAAGTAATGGTTTCCTCATTTAATTATCAAAAAATTTGCTTGAATTCCATAAAATAAAAATGAAAAAGTATAAAAAAAATAGATAGAATGAGTCAAATTGTACTGGTACTTGAGGTTGTCAACAGGCAGTATCTTGGCACCTTACAGGCTAAGGGTAAGGGTAAGGTAGTTCTTGTACATATTTGGCAATAAGTATCCTTACATCTCACCATTAAATTGACCAAAGTTTTAATCTCAACCCTACATGCAACGTACAAGGCAAAAAAGGTATGTTGATGGCCTCGTATACCTCATATATGAGAAATGCCTATTATATCTTTATTTTAATTTAAATTATAATTTATTTTGATTCATGAAAAAAGAATATTGTATTTAACTTCTACCTCATGTCTATATATATATATAGGATTATCAAATTAAAAATGTACTAAAATTAAACATCTAGATTTGACCTTCTCGCTGCCATCAGCCGCCATCTCTTGTCGCGGTTCGTCTCTCGTCTAGTAGTGGTGAATTTCAACAAATCATATTTCATTTTATAGCTCTCGGCTCGATCTATCCAATAACTTGCTAATTTTATCATAAAATACCTCAAACTTTATTAAATCATTATTAATGTTTTGAAAAAAAAAATCAAAGAATTGTGCACTAAATTTTGTTGGAATGTCACTGCAGATCCAATCGTTTTATTTTTGTGAAACATATATATATATATATATATACATATATATAGAAAACACTTTTCATAAGGAATCCAATGTTATCTCCCGATCTCGATTGAGCCTTGCAATAATCATAAACGCTGGTGAAGTTTTTAAAATTCCGTCAGTGCGCGACTGAGGGATGAACACTTCAACCGGAGATTTCCAGCTACTCGGTTGTCCAAATTTAACGGGTGCACTCTCATTTTGTTCCACTCTTCCGGGAAATCAGCTTAATGCTTTGAGTTCATATGAGCCTTCAGTTTGAAGTCACATTTTCTGCATATTTTTGTAAAATGTTTTTTCTGAATTTTATGTTATTTTTTTGAGGGGTACAAGAACATATTAAGTGAAAACTTCTTGTACCAAATGTGAAAATAAGTTAGAATGTGGATACCATATAAGAATTTTTTCTATTAGTTTCTAACTATGGGTAATTTAATAGTTTAATTAATAAGATTTCCTTTGCAAATTTATTTAAGTAAAGGTACATGTGTCATTTATCAGGTATATGCCAGACATGAATGATGAGTAATAATGATTAGTCTCTCTCTCTCTCTCTCTCTCTCTCTCCCTTTTATTTTTTAATTTTATGTCAAATGATGATAAACATATTAATACCAAAACTATTACAATACCGGCCTTCCCTTGAAATTACACAAGCGGACAAAGTGAACTAGACAACACAAACACACAAACCAAGACAACACAAACAAAGTTCCCAAATGGGAGACTACAACACTTCAAAGGAAGAACACACACTCTCACAAAAGAAGGCTAACAAACAACAAAAAATCGTAACAAACAAAAACTAAAATACCCGACGTACAACTATAAAATAGAATAAAACCTCCCTTCATGCGAGCCTACGACAATTGTCACACAACCTAACACACCACCGATCCACATAACTAAAAACAAAATGAGAACTTTCGATCTAAGATCCCCATATCTGAAAACTTCAGACTGGACTCTTACAATACCGAAGTTTATTCTTTGTTGTATCTGCACTTCAAACGACAAGAAAACAAGGGATCCAAAATAATTTTGTGCACTACTTTCAAGGCTTAATAATATCATCTATAAAAATGAAATGAAAATGAATTCATCTACGTGTCTATGTATTTTTTAATCCATACTATTATACAAGGACGAATGTTTTGTAAAAAAAATGTACTACTTAAAAAACTCTTATTTTGACATATTTTTAATGGAAAGTAGTAATACACTATACCTATCCTATTTTATATTTTTAATTAAAAACTGAACTACGTAAAAATTTTTTACTTTGACATATTTTTAGTGGCAAATTAGTATTACGCTATTACTCATCATACCTTATATCTTTAATTAATAACTAATATTTGATTAAATGAAAAAAATATTCAACATCTCCTAAAAAACTACCACAATATTCTCGCACTATTATTCCTCACAAATTTGCTTTATTTGACATATCCCCCAAATTGTTTTCTTTCATATCTCCAAAAAATCAACTGAACATCAACCCAAATAACAAACCTTTGAAAGGATATAGAATTGTTGTCTTGAAAAATGTCCTTATTTTTAATATAATTTTAATGGTAAAATCGTAATCACATTTCATAATTCTAACATATAGAAGTTCTTTAAGGAAAATTAATCCAACAAAACAACATAATAAATACTTATAAATAATTTAAATATTTTTAACTATTTATTTTCCCATCTACAATTTTAATAAAACAATAAATCTTGATAAAAATGAACGACTTAGTAGAGGGGTAACTTGTATATGATAAATAATTTTAACGATACATATTTAACTTTAATTAAGAGACGATACCTAAAATTTTACTGAAATCATGCACACGTGAAATATATACATAATCTATCAAACTAGAAAAGTGGAACAATTCATTTAACTACTTCATTATTTAAGAAAACTAAACTTTTGTACTTATAATTAGAATGAAAATTGCACCTTAGTCTTATTGGATTTAATTTTGATTATACAAAAATCGTCATATATTTGTTTGTTTGTTTATTTGTTTTGTCCAATTTTAGTGACAAAGCCAAAAAAGTTAACAAAACTTCACCTGACCACTTGGTGAAGAACAATATAAAGTAAGAAAATATTAAATCTCGTAAATAATATTAAAATCATTAAGTTGTCATGCATACTAATAAATATGAAAAAGTAATAAATAAAAATAAATATAAAGCTTTTAAAACTTGTACTTATCGATATAAACGAGCCGATTTGTTCAACGCTTATTAATTTTTTTTTGTACTTATTAGTTATATATGTAAGTTTTAGGTGATAGAAAATATTATTTGTATTTCTATCCATGTAGTTTACAACTTTTATGTAGAAAAAGTGGTTGTTCTAATTTTAGAAAATTTTTATTTGCTACTAGATTTATTGAATGTAATATATAAATATCATATTAGATATATAATTTTTTATCTTCATTATTTAATATTTATTATGTAAGAAATGTAACTCAATTTTACAAATTAATATCTAATATTCAGATAAAATAATGAGGGATTGACTTTTAATGTTTAAGAGGGAATACTAAAAAATTGCTATATTGCAATGAAAAATCCAACAATAAGGTATTCAACCGAAAATTGCAATGGATATTTCATTGGTATAGCTTTCAATGGAAAATTTCATTGGCTATTCCAATAGAAATCAAATTAAATTACATTGGAATTTTAGTAGATTTAATGATTCCAATTACCATTACTCATTGTAATGTAAATTTCAGTTGAAACTTTGTCGGACCATATTTCAACTGCTGGAAAACTGTCACTGAAACTATCAAAAAATCAATAGAAGTTCCATTGAAAAGCTACTTGCAGTTGTGGATACAAAATAATTTCATATTCAGGGCCCTATATAGTTAATAGAAAAAAGTATACCATCAAAATAACATAATGTTATTACAATTTATAAATTATACTTTTCATAATTTATCATTTTTCTCATCTATAATACGTTTTTAGTATTTCACTACCGTTACAATAAGTTGAAAAATTATTTAATTAAAAAGTATAATTTTTCCAAGTTCAACGTAAGAAAATCATTATTTGTTATGAAAATGAAGTTCTATTTGAGTATTTATCAAAGTTAAGTATAGATATGTAACCTTTATTATCGTGAAAGTGTAAAATACAAAACCCCCTTCTCTCCCAAAAAACCCTACCCTCGACACCGGCGAATTGTCCCCCCTCAGCGGCCATCCAGCAAGCCGGTGGACTGCTCTCCGCCGCGTGTCCACGCCTCTATTCGCGGCACCCTACCTTCGTCTCGCTAGCAGTCGGGTTGAGGATGGCGGTCTTAGGCGGATCTTTCAGATCTGTGCCTGCCGATCGCCGGAGCTCCCTGGTGGCGACGCTGGGTAAAGTGTGGTACCAGAGGCTGGACGCGGCTCACTTGCTTTTGTCTCCTTTCGTCCAAATGTCTCCCCTTTCCATTTCCTTCCGACGGCCTCGTCTCCGGATCTGCAGGGCTGCAGGTATCAAGTCCGCTTCTCTGTTCGCCGGTGTTCTGGTGTGGCAGCGGGAGGACGGGGTGTGGTCTTCGGTAGCTGGGAGGAGAGCTCGGGTTTGGGCTTTGGTCGGGGCGCCTCTTCTCGCCGGGTTTGGAGGTCAACTCGACTGTGGATTTTCGGGTTCTACCCGAGTCTGGTCATCGACACCTCGGTTTGCTGAGTGTGTTGGGTTGGGATTGTTCTTTTGGGCTAGGTGGATTGGTGGTCGCTTTGGGCTGGGTTCGTCCCTTCGGGCAAGGTTGGTGAGGCTGAGCGTTGACGCCTTTCGCCCCTTTCCTCTCCTTTCTCTGTTCCTGAGCTTGTGAGAGGCCGACCGTTTCCGGATTTGGCTAGTGGTGTTAGGCAATTTCGGGACGGTGCCGGACTGTCTAGTGGTGTTAGACGGTTGGGGGGTGATTGTGGCTTCTTGCGGTCGGGATGCGAGTCGGTTCTTTCGGATTGTTATGAGGCTTGGGTCATCGTCTTGCTAGGCCTTCTGCAGTGGCGGGCGGGGTATCTGAGCTTCGGAGCTCTCCTCAGAAGCGATTTGTCTGTTGTCTTCTTAGGATGTTTCTGCTGAGGGAGGCTGTGTTTTTTTAGATTGTAGTTCTTTTGTTTTGTGTCATTTTTTGTGTTTTTGGTCTGAGTGTTTACCTGTGTGTCTATGTCCTGTGTTTTTTAGTTTGGGCCGTTGGCCCCTGTGAGCCCGAGTGTCAACTTATTACCCTGTTGGGGCCTGACACTCGGGTATTACCCTGTTGGGGCCTTTCTGTTGTTGTTTTTTTTTGTGTTTTGTGAGATTGGATCTAAGGAGCTTTGTTAGATATTGAGGATAAGAATGCTTAAGGTTTGTGAAAATTTGTGATTTTGGAACTCTCTTATGCCATGTTTATTTGACCCTTGAAGCCTTGAGGTTGTGTGGTAATTTTGGAAGTAGAACCCTTTTTATTGCTTAAGCCTTGGCCTAAATTTTTATGTCTTGAGTGTTGTAATTTTGTGGAAAAACCAAGAGTTTCAAACCTTGTTTTGTTGGTGAGCCATTGATGTTTTGGCCAAACCCAAGCCACCTCGGGTCGCAGCCTCGAGACAGACCCTCGGGTCGCACAACACACCCGAGACATCGGCTGGTGCCGTGAGTGCGACCCCATGCATGACTGCGGCGTGCCGCGTTGTAGGTGTCGCGCAAAGGCCTACCTCGTCCGCTGACGAGCAGGTCGCTAGCGTGCCGTGCGCCGGTGCCGCGTCAGAGTGTGCTGCATTGTAGAAGCCGAGTCGCAGCAGGCTTTACCGCGGACACGGGACATCCTCTAAAGTGCTGCAACCGACCTAGGTCACCCTAAGAGCCCTGACCCGTAGCATGTCTATGAGCAAGCACGCACGCGCGTCCCAGCGTCCCGAGTCCAACAGCGCAAGTGTGTGCGCAGCTTCTCGTGTGACAGTGCAACCAGACCCCTGACATGTCTTAGCCGCACAACGTGCGAGCGATTCCCCGTGCCAGCATCTAGTTCTCGACCCCAATGACCCATGACACGTCCTAGCAGCCCACTGTCCACAACACGTGAGTGCGGGAGCTATCCCCTAGCAGACCCGTGTTCTCAGGAGCGCGAGGCCAAGCCGTAGTGGATGGGGCCGCGACGAGCAGGGGAGCGCCACTGGCGACCTGCACCCTCCGCGCCCAGGCGACCTGTGCCAGCAGTGGTCAACCCAAGCCAACGCCCAGCTGCACCGAGCTAGCATCGGACCAGCGTGCTGAGTCACGAGCCTTTGAGCCATTTTTGAGCCGTTGAACCTATTTTCGAGTCGAACCTCGATTTTAATTCCGAACTTTAAATTACCCTTAGCCGAGAGTTCTAATATTGAGATAATTATTACTAAGTCAAGAACCTTAAGTTGTTTAAATTCTTTAAGTTGGTAATTCAATTTACCAATAAAAGATAAGTTACTTATAAGAGTTAAATTTCTCAAAATATAGATTTCGAGGAGTCGAGCCCTCGAGCTGTGTGAGACATCTGCATTTTCATCACCATCTTCGGTTATCAGGTGGGGATTCTTTACTATGGTTTATTTATTATAAACAAGTTGTAGTAGTCTTGTTATGTATGCGATTGTGGGCTGGTGGGCCGAGTAAGTAGTTTCTCATATTAGCGGTACCAGTTGATGCCGACGACACTATTAGAAGCGATTGATGCCGAACGTGTTACCTGTAAGCAGTTTTTCCTACTAGTGGTGCCGGTTGATGCTGATGACAATAGTAGAAGCGGTTGATGTCGGTATACTTACTAGCGGGACCGGTTGATGCCGAGGGCACTAGTAGTAACCAGTTACGAAACCATCAGTTCATGAACTTGGGTAAATGTGTATAATAGTCAATAATCAGGTAGATTATGGAGGCTTGAAATAAGAGTCACTAATCCGAGTTTACCTGGGGGCTTGAAGCCGGTGATAGTTTGTGTGACAGTGATGTTCATGTTCATATGTTTATTATGCTATCTGTGCTTATACTGAGTCCATGCATAATATGCTTTTACCACTGAGTATAGAGGATTTGCTCACCCCATTGCTTTTCAGGTTAAGTAGCTGGCAACGGACATGCGAGGACGGACGTGGTCATCGTTTGATTATGTTTTCATTTCCGCAAAGTTGTTTTGAAACTCTTTGTTTGATTTTGGTATTTATGTATTGAAATTATGTTTTTAATGATTGAGACTTTGAATGTTTGGATGTTTCCATTATGTCTCGAATGTTTAAAAGGAAAGAGATTTTTGAGTAGCGCGTGAGGAAAATGTTTATAGAAAAAATTTTTAAAAGTAATTATTATTTCTGAAAATATGACATTTTCTAAATATAAGTAAGCGGATGCTATACAATGGAGGTGTGTTTTGTCTAGTTCGTATGTCTCTGGGTGGTCCCCATCGTTTGAGCCTTGTTTCACCTTTGTGTTTGATGTTATCAATGCAAAGGTGTTTTGTATTACTAGTTGACAATCGATTGTACTCTTCTGGTTGGTACTTATTTGACAAAAAAATAAAAAAAAATTTTGTATAGTTACAACGATATTTCATTAATGAACATTGAAAATAAAATTAATTAATATGTAAATTATTAAAGATTTTTTCTACAAATAGCCCTTGCTAAAAGGAAAAAAGGTCAAAAATTGCGGCCACCCAAGTTTATACCTTTTACTAACTAAAAGTTTTTGTGAAAATTTTTATATACTATTTATCGTAAATAATTACTATTTTTATTATATATTAATAGTTATTACCAGAATTTATAAAAGCTGTTAAATAAGATCAGCTAAATACTAAATTGTAAATACCCTCTCAACTAATAAAAATAAAAATAGTATAGTAAAAGAAAAAAAAAAGAGAGAAAATTTTCCGAAAAGAATAAAAAGAAACAGAAATTATTTTGACTTGCTACAGCATACAGTGCAGTGCACACAGCTCCATTTCTGATTTGTTCTTCCCGGTCAAAATCAGCAACACACGCACTTCAACTCCCTCTCTCTAGCTACTCTCTCTGTCCTCTCTCTATTTTTTATTTATTTGATTTGATTTGATTTGAGAAAAACATGAGCAAATCGCACACTCGCAAACGCAGATCTGCTGTTTGATCATTTTCCCCACTCACGTTTTGCGATACATTAGTTGTCTTTTTCTTTTTCAAAATTTCTCCGTTTTTGACTAAAGTAGTGGCAAACCAAAATCACTTTGCGAACTTTAGCTCACTGTCTGATCCTTTCTTCAATCTGCCCACAAGCCTCATAAAAAAAAGGTAAGCTTAAACAAATCTAGTTTACTATTGCTTTGTACTGTGTTATGCTATCTCTGTCTTTACTTTTTGTAGACATGGTTTTGTCCTTGTTAGCTTGTTAATCTTCACTTCCTTGAATCGTGGGATTTCAATTATTTGTTTATTGTGCTTCTCTGCGCAGTGAAACTAGGGTTGCATTTCCATCTGTTCCTTAATTTTTCTTACTACAGTACCAATCGCTGCTCTTTTGTTAATTCTTTCATCGTGAAGTTATGTAGGAGGTTTTGTTCGGTTGGTTGAGCACCGACCATTTGGTTTGCTTTGTTAAAGTCTGAAACTTACCTTCTATTTGGTATCTAACTTCTTCCTCAGATGCTAAGCTAAGTAAGCCTTAATCTGGTTGATCTGCCATGAGACCTCAGCTTTTTTCTGGGTCGCCCTGCAATTTTGACCAATTGTTCTGATTTCTGGATTTGTTACTTTTTTTTCGTCATCTCAAGGGTTTGAATCCGGCTCAAGGGCGGGCCATGTTGTGAGAAATGAGGTTTTGGGCTGTCGAAAATGGGGTGTGTTTTTGGGAAAGAGGTTCAGTCAAGCGGCCCACCTGGCAGTGATTATGTTGTCAGGGAGAGAGAAAGTAAGGGTGGCGAGAGAAACTTGTCGGTCCCATCCAGGAGGAAAGAGAGGGAAGTGGTTAGCTCCGTAAGTAAATCGGATGCTGAGAGTAATGCCGGTGTCCGTGAAGCTCAAAATGGCCGGGAAGAGAAAAATGAAGAACCCAAGGATGAGGGCTCACGTAGACCAAGGGGAGAAAGACGGAGGTCGAGGCCAAATCCGAGACTGAGCAATCCACCTAAGCATATTCACGGAGAGCAAGTGGCTGCCGGGTGGCCATCTTGGCTCTCAGCTGTTGCGGGTGAGGCCATTAATGGGTGGACACCTCGTCGGGCGGACTCATTCGAAAAAATAGATAAGGCATGAACTTATCCGCTTACTTATTTATTGTATTGGTATTCGTTCATGTTGGTTTATCTTCTGACTATATTTTCCATCCCTTTGATTTTGCGCCGTTTGGATCATCCGAATGTTGTGAAGCTGCAAGGACTTGTGACGTCTAGGATGTCGTGTAGCTTGTACCTTGTGTTTGATTACATGGAGCATGATTTGGCTGGGCTTGCCTCCAGCCCGAGTGTCAAGTTTACAGAGTCACAGGTGGGATCCTCTCACTCTATATCTTTACGTGTGTGTATCTTCTTTTTTGTTTTAAATGTGTGATTTCAAACTTTTTGCTTGAGTGATCTTTTTTTTTTTTCTAATAATTTTTTTCGCGATTATCTGATTGGTGTGATAGGTGAAATGCTACATGCATCAGCTTTTGTCGGGACTTGAGCACTGCCACAACCGCCATGTGTTGCATCGTGATATTAAGGGTTCTAACCTTCTTATTGATGATGGTGGAATTCTTAAGATTGCGGATTTTGGGTTGGCATCGACCTTTGACCCTAATAACAAGCAGCCAATGACGAGCCGTGTGGTCACCCTTTGGTACAGGCCACCGGAGCTGCTTCTTGGTGCCACCGAGTATGGTGTGGGTATAGACTTGTGGAGTGCTGGGTGCATTTTGGCCGAGCTATTTGCTGGCAAGCCCATCATGACAGGGAGGACAGAAGTAAGTGTTTGTAGTATTTAAAATTCAAACTCATCATGGTCAACTACTATCTGATAGTAAATATGTCGACATGCTATATTTCATTGTGCTTTCGATACCTTTTCTTATGATAACCTCAGTTAATGACTTCTCATGTTCTCTGAAAATTATTTTGCCTTTTGTATATATATCGGAACCTTCTGAGAGCTGGACACAACATGTTTGTGTACGTACGAGTGCTTGTTTAGCGACTTGCTTTTCTTTTTAATGAGCGAGAAGTAGCTTTTTTTTTTTTTAATGGNGATGTGATATTGCTGTGTACACTTAGTTCTTTTAACAGAGCTGTGAAAAGGTGTTTTTGCTGTTTGTTTGCATATGTATTCTAAAATATAAGGGTAAAAAAAAAGAAAGAGTTAATAAAACGATCTGAACTGAGGTGTGAAAAAACATTATCCTGGACAATTTGTTTGGTCCTAAACTCCTAATCAATAATAACTGGGTGGAATCGCTTGCCTAGCAGCCTATCCTTTTGTTCTAATGGAACTTCTCTGAAATAGAACGGGTTTGACTAGCTTGCATGCTTATGTTGATGGTTTATTCATACAATTTATTTTAGTGTGACCTTTGAAGTTGGGTTAGCATAAGTTTTCTTCTGCTAGGTTTATAGTTCAATTGAATGCTATAAGTGTTGCTTAGGTGGAACAGCTGCACAGAATTTTTAAGCTCTGTGGTTCTCCATCAGATGAATATTGGAAAAAGTCAAAACTCCCTCATGCAACTATATTTAAACCCCAACATTCATATAAACGATGCATAAAGGAAACATTTAAAGAGTTTCCGGCCTCAGCATTGCCTCTAATCGATACTCTACTTGCAATTGATCCAAGCGAGCGACTGACTGCTACAAGTGCCCTGAACAGTGAAGTAAGCTCTCTTTCGCCTGCTCCCAGGTCTCCTTTTGAATCACTCTCTAGTTGCATTGTGCTTGTGTGTGTAAATGTGATCTGCTTACCCTTTTTTGTTGTCTTGGAATCTGATGCAATACCCTTGTTTTTAAATTTCCTTATATGTAATTTAACAAAGGTAATGGNGAATTACAGTTCTTTAGTACCGAGCCATATGCATGTGATCCTTCTAGTCTTCCAAAGTATCCACCAAGCAAGGAAATGGATGCTAAGCGTCGTGATGAGGAAGCTCGAAGGTTTGGAGATGAATTGTTCACTTACAGACTTACAAAAATCCATACTTTTATCCGTTTTTGTCCTCTTATTATTCATTTGAAACAAATGTGCATATATATTACATCCATTAGGTTTTTAATTCGTCTAGTGATTCCACTAATTCGTGAATTAGTAATTTATCACGGTGTCCGATGGCATTTATGTTGAATCCTGACACTGAATTGTCATTGTAGGTTAAGAGCCGCTGGTAAAACCCACACAGATGTGGTAAAGAAAACACGTACTCGTGATCGGGGGATGCGGGCCATGCCTGCACCTGAAGCCAACGCTGAGCTTCAAGCCAATATTGATGTATGTCTTTCTTATGCATTACTCAGTGTTCCACTTTTGTTCTTGTCTTTTTGCTCTTCATAATCACTCAACAAACCAAACATGATCTTTGTCCTCCGTATACTCAATAATCACTGTTTATCTTCCTTTTGCTGGAACATATTTTCTTGCTCAAGAAACTTTCGGTCTCCATCATATGCTCACTATATTTGATGATTTTATGAGTGTTCTTACCTTTTTATTTGCTTGGGTCATTAAAGCAGAAGTAGCATTTAGTTAATGTGGTGTTGCTTCCATCTCATTCTAAGAATAGTTTCCATGATCAACTTAAAAAGCAATAGGAGATCTTAGGTCAGGATTTTTCATAACAATTTACATAAGAGATGTGGAATTAATATTTAAAAGAAATGACCCCCCAGACCCCAACCTGTTGGGAATATACTGGGTATGTTGAAACGCTCAGTGAGATGGCGTATTATTTGAAAAGTGATGGTGTTTGGCCATGATGACATTTTTAGGATGTGTTTGACCCGTACATTTGGTAAGGCAACTGTCTACTCATAACTCATGCCAGTCCATTTGCTTGATGACACCGCTCATGACAAATGACCTACAAGAATAAGAGAATATGGAATACCATTCTCTTTGATTAAATTAGTTTTCACTTGTTAGTTTTAATTAAAAAAAGGTTATCTTCTATAATCACCATTCACAAATAAGCCGCCCAAGTAATGACTTCTGTATTTGTTCTACTAACCAGCAACCACTCTTTTAATGGGCTGCTATGTGTAAAATAGAAACATACGATAGGGGGCTATTTTATAATATTTGAAAGATAACCGATAATTTTCTTTGACTCTTCATAAAACAGAGACGACGGCTATTCACCCATGCAAATGCTAAGAGCAAAAGTGAGAAGTTTCCTCCTCCCCACCAAGACGCAGGAATAGGCTTCCCATTGGGATCGTCCAATCACATAGACCCAAATTTCGACCCACAAGACGTGCATGTGCCGTTTACTTCCATGAATTTTTCATATGCCAAAGAGCCAATCCAGACATGGTCAGGCCCATTGGTCGATCCTTCTTCCGTAAAGAGAAAATCGAAGCCCTCTAAGAAAGATCACCGCAAGGCCAGAGATTAATAATAGGAGGAAAGAAGAAAAGATGGTAAAACGTGTAATATAGCATTGCCCTATATATTTACTGTCAGGTCAATACATGAAGGTGCAGGCCAGTGCAAGTTTGTGTGTTATGTCCGAGACCGGGAAAGTATTGGGTTTTTTAAGAGGTATGGTATATTTTATTTTATATTTTTTCTTATTATTCTGCTTTGTCTTTTTACCATTTTTTCAGAAATCTTGAGGGCATTCTTGTGTATGATACGATTTCTTGGTTTTTTTTATTTTTTTTTTCCCTTCCTCTCAACGACAAAGTGGATTTTTGCATTAAATTGACGCATTATAGTTTAAAATAACTGTTCAATTTATTGTCATGCTTCAGTTTTGGAGGATTTGTGGATGGAGAATATATTTCTAATGTGATTTCTCTCTCCTTTGTATGGCTAATGTATTTTGCTTGTTATTTATCATGTTTGTTATGATTGCACAGCATGATACCCATGATTTGTATAACTATGGCTAGGTCTGTATATGTTTTTTTCCATACATATATAATTTTGTTTTGTAGTTTGGCTGCTTTGAAGTTTGGAAAATAGCTGTGTGCCTATTCTTTCACGTACTTGTAATGCTGTTATATTTCATAACCTCCGTGCAACACCCTTGAACCGTGGCAAATGAAAACACCTTTTGATTTTGCTGATCAGTATATCTGAAAGCTGTATCTTGATTGTAAAATAGTAGGCATTGTTTTGAAAACCGGACTCTACTGGTGGGGGTTTCATTATTTCATGTACCTTAACCCTTTATTTTACTTATTTGATTATGTGGTTCAAACCATAAAAATTTGGGAAGGGATGGTTTTAACTTTTTTTTTTTCTTTTTCGAAACTATAGACTTCATTAATAAACATGAAATTACAATCGGCTCACTAGCCGAAAAGAGGGAGGACTACCAAAGGTAGTCTAAATCACAAGCATAATACGTTTTTCTAATAATTTTTTTTTTCAAAAAAACGTAGGATGGGTCTACTTCTAGATCTGAAGAGAACCGATGGATTTGAGCTCAGATCTGCTTGAACCGCCTTTGAATCGTTGCTGAACCGCGAGAATACCTGCAAAAACTCAACGCCGGAGGTGTTTCGGACGTAGAGCCTCTGACGCTAAGTCAGTGTGAGAGATGAAGAGAGGCTGCGCAGCAGCTATGGGGGAGAGTAGAGAGTGAATGAGAGTTAGGGTTTAGGGTTGCTTCACTTCCTTTATATAAGAGTAAACACTTATTTGAAGTATCCTAAATACCTGGTTGGTGGACCTGTTAGGTCTAAATTACCCCGGTCGGTTCGTCTCCCCTTGCTGTTGAGTCATCACAAGATTCTCTCTTATCCATTGAAGAATGCAGTCCCAAATATGCTGCAAGTGTGATAAGTCGTCATCATGCTTTCAGACTCGAGGCGTTAGAAGTCGACCCCGAGAACTAAGAGGTCGGCTCATGATCATATGAGGATTCGGAGGCTACGCTTTGTCGTTCTTAAGTGGAAGTCGACTTCTGGAGTCGACTGCCGGGAGTCGACCTCAAGGAGTCGACTTGCATGGATTCCGTCCCTTTCGTAGTTGTTCTGCTGAGGAGTTGACTTTCTGGAAGTCGACTTAGATATGCTGGTGGTAGTATGTTGATATTCAGGCAATCTGAGCAGTTACCTGGTCGAGTAGAGGATGTGACCATGGTCCCGTTATTCTTCTTGGGTAAAGGCCGACTTTTGGGGGTCGACTTGTATGAATTCAACTTTTTCCTATTTGATGAGGAATCGTCATCGTAGAAGTCGGTCTCAGTGTGTTGATTGGGACAGGTCGACATGCGGCCGATCTGGCCAATTGTCCGGTCGAGTAAAACGCTCTTGGGCCGGTATGTGATAATATGGCTATATCATCTAGTCCCCCCCAAAAATTACTCTAAGCGGCTTAGAGCTTAAGAGTAAATTTGGTGGTCGAGAGCCTCTATTGATTTTGTTCGTTGTTTCTTTCATCGAGGTTCTTAATGTCATCGTTCGGTTTGTCCTTGCTACTTATCATCCAATCCATATCGTGATTCCTCGTTTATGCTATTGCTTGTGATTCATCTCGTCCTCCGCTGGACGGTTGCAATTTCATGATTGCTCTTCTGGATAATTCTGACAGCCTGTCAACTTTTCGAATTTTGAAATTAGGGCAGGCCGCGTCACTTCAGTTTTGTCGCTTCGAATTCCGGGTCCCACCTAGACCGTCAGATCTTGCTTCCATCTAAAGGCTGATAATCTTTTGTTCCGTGTATAAATACCCTATCTTCTCACAACAATCCACTTTTCCACCTTCTTCAGAACTTCTTGCTTTCTCTTTATCTTTCTCGAAACCTCCGGCGAACACTGCACCTTCGGCTCTACCGACACTTCCTTTTCTCCGGCGACTTCAGACTCTCGAGACCTTCTCAACCACAACTATGTGTAAGTTTACTGATTTCTCAACTTCTGATACTTCTCTTTTTTGTAGATTTTCTTTATTTTTCTGGGTTTTCTGTATTTCGAAATTCACGAGTGTTCTTGGTGTTTCTCTAACAACTTTACACGGGTTTTGTGTTAGATCTTCTTTGCTGGGATTTCCCTTTGGATTTCTTGTTTATCCCTACCCCGCCGCATATCGACTTGTGGTACAAAGTCGATTCGCACTTCTTTGGGTCGATTTTTGGTTTGATTCTTTCCTAGCCTTCTCCGCTTCTTCTCGTTCATCTTGATTAAGACGAGTCAAGTATTCTCGTGATTTCCTTTGCTTCAAAACCATTTTTCCATGGATAACCCTTGGCTCGACTTGTGACGACTTTCACAAGTCGATTTACCCATTGTTGGTTGCGTCAGCTTTCACTTCACACTGATTTCGCCGTTACTGATCTCGACTCTTCTTTTTCGTTTTTCTAGATTATGACACCGATTCTTCGCCCGATACTGTTGAGCGTTTGATCGACGAATGTCCTCAATCTTCCGACTCTGTACAAGTGGTCGGCTTCAATCCAGCTGATCAATCACAAAATTCTCCTCATTCGGATGTATCCTCTTTTGGTATCGATCGAGATGCTTATAACCAAGCATGGATGTCAGGTGTCTTGATGGAGGACCCTGAGCTTCCCTAAGTCCAGGGGTCTCCTCGTCTCGACCTCATCCCTCGAGATATTCCTCTTAGGATCGTAGATGTTCCTGTATATAGAACAAGTCCTTCTCTTCCCATAATCGCTCATCTTCTCGAGTTTCAAAATGTTGTATCTGTAGCATGTCCACTGGTTAAGTTAGCTGTCTTAAATCCTTTTTGTTATGCCTCTGCAGTCGAGGTCGATGGCTTTAAAGGGTACAGTGGTCTTCTCTCCGACTGGGAGTTGGTCGTTCCTAGCCCCAATGACGACTTCGCTCATCCTCCTCCTGGCTTCTACACCTTTTTTATTGACCAAGTGGTTTTTGGTCTTCGCTTCCCAATTCAACCCTAACTTCGCGCTATTAGCGACTTATACAATGTCCCCATAAATCAGTTTTCTCCTAACGCGATTCCCATCATGATCGCTTTCATTGTTGTTTCTAGTATAAGACTTCAATATTTTTCTACTGAGTTCCTTTTTTACTGTTACGGCTATCGATTCAGAAAAGACGCCCATTGCTTGGGTCATCGCGCGGGTGTCACTTTCCTAACGTAACCAAATGGAAGTCAAAGTTTGTTTATGTTCGACCTGCCTCCGGTAAATATCCATACCCCAACGCTTGGATTACCTCCAAGGTTAAACAGAATAAACGGCCGCGGTGCGCCCAGCTTGAATCAATGTTGATCGAGCTCAATAAACATACTTACAAAGCCCGTCCGCTAATCAAAGAAAGATCCCTTCTTAACCACGTAGGCATTGTTGTCGACAAGGATGTTCCTCGTCTCGACGATCCTCGTAAGTGATTTTCATATGTTCTTCCTCTTATGTATTTATGTCGATTTCGACTGAGTTTCGGTTTATGATTGTAGATTCTGTTCTTGCTCGTTTCGAGTATGTGAAGGCCAAAGGCGATGGCAAGTCTGCTGGCCGACCTGCTCCTCCGAAAAAGCTTGATGGTGGCTCGGGGTCAGGTACAAAGGGGGCAGCAGTCGAGATGACTGCTGCCAAAAAGTCGAAGGTTGTCCTCTCCTCTTTGGGAAAGCAACCGAAGGCTTCGGGCTCGCTTCCCCGAAAGCGGGCTCAAGACGAGGCCGACTTCACTCTTATCCCCGACTCACTCAAACGTCAAAAAAGCAAAGGCAAGGCTATTGAACAAGCTCCTCCTCCTCCTCCTCCCGGCAACCTCGAAACTGTCACTCTCGAGAGGCCTTCTCGTCTCTGGGATCATCCTCATCCCCATGAGATCGCTAAGTATTTTGACTCCATCATTCCTGCTGCTGACAAGGCGCGCTCCGTCCGTGATCCTTACGTCTGTGCCAGCCGTGCCCTGTTATGCTTTTCTCGGGTAATTTTTTTATCTTTAGTCTCGATCGATACTTTTTACTTGGGTCCTAATGCTGCTTTTTTTATGTTTCAGTTCATGGCGTTCATAATGCCCTCTCTCCTCGAGGATACCAGCTCGCCCGACTTCAACATCCGTGCTTATAAGAAAAAGTATGAAGATAAACTCCTCGTATTTCAAATTGTTTTGCTTGTTATTTTTCGTATATCTTCTCCCCAACCCTTCTTTGCGAGCTGGTCGAAGGCGAGTAACGATTCTAACAACTTCATAGTTGATAAACGTAAGTTTCTCAACTCGTCTTCTCCCCAACCCTTCTTGCGAGCTTGTCGAAGTCGACCAACGATTTTAGCAGCTTCATAGCTGATAAATGTAAATTTTTCAACTCCTCTTCTCCCTAACCCTTTTTGCGAGCTGGTTGAAGTAGAGCAACGATTTTAGCAGCTTCATAGCTGATAAACGTAATTTTTTCAACTCGTCTTCTCCCCAACCCTTCTTGCGAGCTGGTCGAAGTCGAGCAACGATTTTAACAGCT